TAGATAGCATCACTGAAGCAATGAGCATGAAACTGAGCAAACTCAGGGAGGCACTGAAGGATAGGAAGGCCTGGCGCAATATGGTTCATGGGGTCACAAAGAGTTGGACACAACGACTGAACAACAACAACAATGATGTTAACTTAGGATAACCACCAAAGACAAGTTATTAAAATTACATTTTAATTGAGGAGATGGACATTCAAATAGTAAAAGAGGCTCAATATAAGTAAATACACACTTAAAAAAAAATCAACTATGTATCTCCTTGTGAAATCTCAAACAGCAGTGGCTGACCTGGAAAAGAGTCTTGAGGTTAGAGTGAATAATTAGATGAATAGAGTGCTAAAACAAAAATACATGCAAGCAAACTTTAAGATAACTCAAGAAGACAATCAATAAGGTTAGAATTTGAATATTTTGGCCAAACCATGTAAACAAATAAACAAGTTTCTTCTGAAGATGTATTGCTAATAATAAAGAAATTCCTAAGATTCTATAAACCTGGGCAGTTTATAGAAAGAGTTTACTACACTCAGGAGTGTGTTTGCATATTTTGATTCATACTTGAGATAATTCTTCACATTTCAGTGTATGGATGTAGACATGTTATGAGATAATGCACTGCTACAATCAGAACACTACAGTATAAAGAAGAATTTTTTTGGCACAGTATAATTTTGTCTGAGAGTTTTTTAAAAATTTGCTACTGTCTTCTGGGATTATTTCCCCCTAATTTCCCAGTCTAGCATACAGTCCTCAGATTTCCCATGGTCTCCCACTGAAGAACCAAGCAGGTCCAGCTCTGATAAGCTTATTGACTTCAGCCAAGAGTGGTTAGTTGCTGCCATCTAACTAATCTTTAGATGCGCCTAGCTGTGCATTTATTAGCACTCCATTTTGGGACTACTCTAGAAATAAACAATCTGTTTTGTTTTATTTGATAATGAAAACACTGGCCCAATGTATAACTGTTTGGGAAAAAATGCTATGGATCCATTGGAAAGGGAATAAAAACTAAAACCATCAGTATCAAATGACATATATAAATTATATAGTTCTAATCATTCTATCTTGGTGCAATCTGCAGCTAAAAAGTTGCAGAGAGAAGTAACTAAAATTATTACAAGAGAACAGCTCATCTAGGAAGCAAAATTATTGTATTTGTGACCTTTTAACCTTAGAAAAAGTGGAGAAATTAGCATAACAGAGAGGTATGTAATTATATGTGATGTGAAGGATATAGCTAAGTTCCTTTCCCATAGTCATCCGACAAAGGTAAGTGATTACAAATTCAAAACAGACAAAATAATATTTTTATGCACCACACTTATACTATGAATTCCTTCAGCCACCACTAGAGGGCTTTAAAAATGAATCATACAAATTAATGGGAAATAATGCTATTAGTCATAAAGCTGCTGTTCATTATTTTAATATATTCTTTCTAATTTCAGAGTCAATGCGCTTCTGATCAACAGCTGCTAAAAGGCATAAGAGTTTTTGTATTCTGCTCTGGACTTCCAGCTAGCATCTGTGGGACAGACTGCTGGTCTACATAAGCTTCTGACTGATCCAATCAAGCTCTATACATTTTCTTATGAGTTTGTTTTATGGACTGGAGTTTCTTGGACAGTTACCTAGAAGTCATGGATGGGCTAGATTCCTTTGCTGTCAGTCAACATCCTGATGAATGATCAAATACTACATCACAAAATTTTCCTCTCAATAGCCAGTCTTATGGATGTCTTGATTGCATTAGAAACTAACAGAGTCGCATAATGGCTCACACTCATCATATAATCACTCAGTGACATAATTAATACATCATATCTATGATAGATCCTAAAAAAGGATAACTAATAAACATTGCACCTTTTTTGCCAAACATCATTTTTTGCTTGGTGTAAGTTCCCAGGAATAATTGATTTTCTAGAAGGCAACAAAAATTCTCAAAATGACAGTGGAAGCTCTCTTTCACTAAATTTATTTAAGCAAATCTGTAATACATTAAGCAGGGATTGACTAAATGACCTCCAAATGTGCTTGATTCTATGATTGTACAACATGAGTCCTTGTTTCCAAAGATACTTGAAAAAATGATGTGGAGATACTCTCAGGTAATTTCAAGTAATACAATCAATTCTAGCAGTAAATTGGACAAACGACCATCTCATCCTGGAATGAGCTGCTGAGAAAAGCCCATGAGCCAAGATTGTGCTGGGCAGAATAGGTTATTTGCAAAAGGTTACAAAAAGTGAAAGATGGGAGAGAAATGGGCAGCGGCGGGGGGAGGCTGTCTTCCCCTTTGACTATATTTTCCCACTCCCGTCATTCCTTAGCACTGAAGGTCTCTGATAGAAATTCTGAGAGAAGAGGGTTTTTTTAGTTTACATTTGACCTCTGGCAATACTGTCTTTTAAATATTAGAATTAAAGCTGAACACCTCAGTTCATAATTGATCCTTCCATCCATCAATTTGGCTTTGTATTCTGTTCACCAAATTTTACCTCTTTCCAAAATTCTAATAATGTGTTTACTATTCAGAGTTTATTGCACTATTTTACATATAGGGATAGACTGT